TCCAACTCCATGGCAATCAGGTGGTGCCTTCTAAGGAAATGAGGGACCTTGAGCTCCGGAGGAAACCCTAGAGCTCAGCCACTCCCTGTGTTTCCCGGTATTCTCCTGAATCAATGGCCAAGGCCTCCTGCTGAGATTCTCAGTTTGAGAGGCTTTTCCTGCTGAACACACTTCTGCCCATTCCAACAGCCCCACCCACGGACAAGGCCCCCAACCTGCCAGCTCCTCTATCACTCTTGAGGTCTTCTGTAAAGACCCTCCCTTTGAAATGCTGCCTTTCCCGTTTCTATCTTCGCTTCCCTATCAGTCCACCCATGAGATTCAGCCCATTTCTCTTGTTAAATGAATGAGTTCTTCACGGGCAAAAAAGATAAAAATAGTTCCCATCTCCTGTGGAATACAAAAATCTATATTTACATCCTTGATTAAAGAGTGTCTATGCTAGAGAAAAGGGTGAGTGAGCACTGTCATTCTATGACAGCTTCCCCAGAAAAGATGTTTGCAAAGTGACACTTCCTGCTTCTAGAGTAACAAGGTTTACTGAGAAGCCTGTGTACACTGTGGTCAGAGGGACCTAGCTTCAGGAGACATATCTATCCTTGATCATGGCCATCAGTGGAGGAAAATGCATCCCTCGGAGACTTTGATGTGGTCCAGCTGCTGGAGAAATCCTAGCTGAGGGAAGCAGAGGAGGGAGTGATGAGTGACATCCCAGTGAGGTAGGATCACGGTGTGGACTGGGATTAGAGCTTGGTCACATTTAGAAAGCCATGCATGCGGGCATGCCCTGTCCATCAGGGGAACAATCAGCTGCTGAAGCAGTGGGGATCTGCTACTGTGAGGACATTTCTACATCGGATGGAATGTATTCTTACAACAAAGACATCCCCTCCCTCCTTGCATGGCTTCACATCCTCTGGAGCTCTCTAGGCTGTGTCCCCACAATAATGATGCAAGGAGGTGGGGAGGAAATGGACCCAGGGACCCAAATCATCTCCTGGTCTTCATCCAGGCCTTGGCATTCAGCTGTAATTGTTCACTGTTCCTGTAAACTGCATGACCCTAAGGTGCAAAATTATAAGTAAAACATCTTATAGTCCTGTGCCCTGAGGCTGAACTCCTCTTAAAAATCAATGAATAATTTAGCTCATGCTGGCAAAAAAGATGCAGGGTGGAGTGTTCAAAATCATCCAACATGGGTCCTCAAAATTGCAGAAGATGAATATATCTAGAGAGCTGTTAAGAAGGCAGTGGAACATAAAATCTGAATTGCAAAACACTTGAAGATCAGCATGTTGTTACCCTCGAGGAGTGACTGCTTATTTTTATCCCTCTGTAGGAAAAGGTGATACTGCAGTCACCAAACACTTGGGAAGGCATTTATAGATTTCTGTGATAATTAACGTTACTTTACAGGCATTGCCCCAAAGGTGACTAATGGAGAGAGCAAGTCAAAGACAAAAGTACAGATCATTGTATTTCCTTTGCTATTTTTGATAATAATGACAATATAGCCAAAGTTTATGGTACTCTAGATTATATGCCAAGCATTTGCTAAGCACTTTATATGATTATCCCCTTTCATTTCTAGAAATATTGGGAAATGAAAGGGAATTTCTTTTGTAACTATGAATCAGATCCACTGGCTCTGTAAAGGCAGGAACTATGCTTCTTCATTCAACTCAGCTCAGTGCTAAGCATAGAGTGAGTCTCAAGAAATGTGTGCTTTACCATTTTTGTAGAACTTGAATCTGGATTTGAAAGTTAGGATCTGGTTACAAATATCAACCTAATTTTCCTTTAGACAATGCCTTGGAACAATGTGTGTTGAACTTGCTTAATGCATTTTTTGAAAAATGCATAGGTATATTTTACAAAGGGGCTATCACTCCCTCTTCCCCCCACCCACCCAATAAGCACTGCTGGGGGGGGGGGGGCGGCTGGGATGCAGCTTAGTGGTGGGCACCTGCCTCACATGTAGGAAGTTATAGCTTCAATCTTCAGCACCACAAAGTAACAGCAACAAATAACTCTGAATCTTCAGTATCTCCCCAGTGGTAAAGGCTTGCTCCCTAGGTGATACTACAGAAGGGGGTGGAGGCTTCAGTAGACCACACCTAACGGAGGATTTAGGTCCTTTGGTGTCATGCCCCTAAAGGGGACAGTGGGACCCAAGCTTCTTCCTCTTCCTCTTCCTCTCTTTGCAGCTGAGAGGTAAGCAGTTTTATTTCACCACCTGCTCTACACCAGGACAAGCTGCCTCACCACAGGCCCAAAAGGAGCAGGGCCGACCGACCAGGGCCAAAGGCTAAATAAAACTCTCTGTATAAGTTGATTATCTCAGGTGTTTATTATAATGACCAAAAGCTGATCAATAGACACTAAAGAATGCTGCAACTGAACAATATATTTTACGGAAATCATTAAGAAAACATGTTTCTCGCTCACCAGCATTTCAGTGTTTCAAAGTGAGTATTTTCTTAGAAATAGGAAACAACACCTCAAACACTGAACAGTATGCTTTTTTATCCTTTTTGTTTAATTGTTAGAGTCACAGTCCCATGGAAAGAAGGGCTTCTCAAGCCTATTATTTATGGATGCCAAGTCCTCTGAAACCATTCACTCAAGCTCTCAATTAAACACAGCAATTAAAACAAATTGTAGAAGGACTTGTCCAAATTAGGGGAAAGGTTGGACTACATGGTGTGTCCATCAAATGTGCATACAATGTGAATGTTGATAAGAAATCTGCAAATATTGGCAGTCCTCAATTTAAACAAATGATAATCCAAAAATGCATCTGCAAATTGTTGGAAGTTTAGAAGACATTTTCCCATGAACACAGTACGTGTTCGTCGTACGGTAAATTAGAAAGATATTTGGCCAGGGTCTCAGTCCTTAATCAGTAGCTCACTGATTGGTCACAGATTCTCCCTGTGGGAGGCAGAAGGCAGAGGAAGGCAGTGAGGGCAGATGTGCCCTGTTGCTACTTGCAGATCTAAGCCGCAGAGCCTGCTGGGTTAGACCAGACAGTACTTGGACCATAGCAACTCTGCCTAATGAATGAGGCCATGGCAAAGGAAAGGTGCACGTTTGTTCCCAAGACCCAGAGTAGAACTAGCCTAAGGTACCCAAACCTAGTACCTAGTACCTCCCAGGGAGGCAGGAGGTAGAATGAAGAAAAGTGAACAACAGAAAGCTGTGGGGCAAGAATTGAGAAACCAGACAGCGCAAAGATGACTACTTCAAGACATCAGACTTCCGACAGATAAAGGTCAGTCTGCCCACTCCCACACTCCCACCCCACATACACAAAACCCAAAATACATGGCCCTGGCTTGGGTCCAACTTCATTTCCATTGCAGTTTTGACAACCCCTCCACCCATCTCAGGGGCTTTGAAAGCCATGACACTTCTGAAAACTTTGTACTGCCAAAAACTCCCCATCCTGATGGGTGAGCCAGGCAGGTATCCTGTTGGACTGGGTCTCCTGTCAGTCCTCCTACAATCCCAGGACCTGAAGAGACCCAGTATACTCGAAAGTATACTTTTGCTACTCTTGCGTTAAATAAATCCTCCTCTTGTTACTTCTTCTGAGTGGCCTGCTCAATTCTTTGTTCAGGAACCTGGAAACAACTCCCCCAAGACCCCTCAGACAATAACACCAGGGTAGGAAGGGAATTCCCCCATCTCCCACAGTCCCAGGCCTGGACACTCATACCAGCTGTAATGCAAGAAAAGCATCCGCTCCTCTTGCCTGCCTGGAAGGGAAGGTTCTGTGAAAGGTCCGAGCTCACTCTACCCAATGGAGATGGGTGGAGGAGGGAGGACAGGCAAGGATGGAGGTGTCTGGTTTGCACATTAATGCATCTCACCTCTGCTCAAGCCCCAAGCATAGTTCTGGGCTGGCTCTAGGCCTTTGGGTTACAAGAGCTAAGAAGTATAAATATTCTGCCCACCTGCCAGCCCCCAAAAGGGTGGTGTCAAGGAGACTGCCTTGAGGACCCACAAATACTTCCTCTTCCCCCAGAGCCCCTCGCGAAGAGGCTCCTTGGTCTTGACACAGGGCATCATGGCAGGGCGGGATAGACAGGGCAGGAACAGATGGAGGACAGACTGGAAATCTGAAGCCACCTCAAGAAGATGGAGTGAAACATTGAGTTATTTTCCTATACTTCACAGAAAATGCTTATTTTATCCATAAGGTGTTTTATTAAATTTCTGGGTCTCCAAAACCCAGAATCACTTCACCAAGTAGAAAGTGGAACTGAAAGGGGAAAGAGTGTTATTCATCTTCTACACACTGCTCAGAGTAGATCCTGTACAAATTTTGGAGTCAAGACTTTGCCAGTCTTCCATGTCCTTTTCTAAATCCCTTGATCCTAGTGTCACTCATTTCTGTTCAGCTCCTCAAATGTTCCCCTTCCAAAGTGAGTCTTACTCTCTCCACCCAGCCCAGATTCCTCATACCCCATGCACCAGGTTATAAGGAAGGGATCAGGTTGTAATAGCCCATCTCACAGTGGGCCTGTGGGTGACAAGGGAGGATCTCCAGCTTAACCATTCCCATTCACCCCGAGAATACTCGCTGGTAGCACTGGAAGCTATAGCATCTACCCAGAGATGACCTGCAGATTACAGTCCTAATCTTATACCCAACATTTGCCACAAAATATCTGGCTTTTATTACTATTTTCACATCACTCTAGTGTCTAGTGTCCATAGTCTTTGGCAACAAGACATTCTATGCATAGCATTTTGGTTTTAGTACTGGTATTTCCATTTACAAAATATAGTACTTCTCTGAAAATTAAATGAACCTGATGCTGAGCTGTATTTTTTTTTTATCTAAATGAGAAATGGGTTTAAAGGATATCCGACGATGCATATGAATCTACAGAGGAGGAAAGGAGGGGCATGAAAGAGCAGAAATTCAACCATGAGCTGTTCCAGGTCATGGACTGGGACACAGTACTCACCTTGCATCTGGAACCAGGCAGTCCAGAAGGCCAGGGATACCTGGTGGTCTTAGCAGCAGGGTCTACAGAGTGAGTGCATTGCTTTAATGTGTTCTCCAGCATCCGTGCCCCAGATAGGCTGCTCCTCTTGCCTGCCTGGAAGGGAAGATTCTGTGAAAGGTCCAAGCTCACTCCACCCAATGGAGATGGGTGGAGGAGGGAGGACAGGCAAGGATGGAGGTGTCTGATCTGCACATTAATGTATCTCACCTCTGCTCAAGCCCCAAGTATAGCTCTGGGCTGGCTCTAGGCCTTTGGGTTACAATCATTATAGTCGCGGGTGCAGGTAGAAATACAATCTTGTCTGTATTAGATCCTTCCTTCCTTTCTTTCTTATCATTGTCTCTTTCCTTCCTTTCCTTCTTCCCTCCTTCCTCCTGTACCTCCCTTCTTTTTTCTTTTATCCTCCTTTCTTTCCTTTCTTCTCTCCCTCCCTTCCTTCCACAAATAACCTTAGAGTACCTACTCTGTGCACTGCATACACTAAAGCCATCCTGGGTCCCATGTGCAAGTGGACAGGGTTCCTCCCCTGACTTTGGGTCACACTTTTCAACCCCTGAGTCCTCTTGTGCCCTCAGGACTCCAACTCTGGCTTCTTTAACTTCACACCTGAAGCTCCATACTGCTTCAGGAAGCTACTGACTCACATTCCTGGTACAGAGCCAGAGGACAAGTCTCCAGGACAGACTACAGCAGCTGAGCTCACCATTTCATGTTCCACTTATCCACTTTTCATAAATAAAGACCATGCAAATCCATGCTGAATCTGAGTTTGCCTCAGAGAGTTCATTGGATGTCCAGACATGCCTCTAACCCAGCCTCAGCAACATCCAAGGCCTCCACCACACATGGAATGTTAAATAATGAGATCACAAGTAAATATTTGGTCTACACCCCAATAGAGAAGATGTCACAGGCAGTACAGAATGGGAACCCCTTTCAGGATTGTATACTAGCTTTGTGGCTATGAATTTTGAGCTGTTTGTTTCCTAGATGACTTGCAAGAAGTAACAGGAAGAAAATGACTGGCCCACAACCCTGGAGAATGGCTTTGAGTACTAGGAGAATAAATCCTTCCACCACTGCATTTTTAATAATTAATGCTGATTAGGAAAGTAAACATCTGAGAACATAATTTAATCAAAGGCAACACTACAATCCCAAAACTTTTATGTATGCTTTACCTTGAAAACCAATGGAAACCAAAGTCATAGTCTAGAGAAAGAAAGGTAGACTCAAGTAGATAACAGAAATCTTGGGGAGGAAGACGGCATGAAGTTAGGAACAAAACACAACCTTAGATATCCCTCTACCACCTCAGGACTTCAGAACATCCCTTGCTGTTCGTGGTGGCAGTGTGGGCCCTTTGGGTGGAGCAGAGCTCAAAGAGGACAGCAACCAGAGGACAACAGAGCCACAGTTAGGCAACAGAATAAGCAGAATAAGGGCCCTTAGGAATATAGAAGGGATGTGGGAGCAATAATGGCTCCGTAGTACCCAGGTAAAGGTTCTACCACTCCAGAGCAAACAGGGAAGGGAGCCTAGGCTACCACCAACCCAGACTCAGCTTGGTACTGAAGTAGTGAAGTTCTGAGCTCACCTGCCAGCTGTGCAATGTACAGACTGTGCATCTTTAATCCCAAAACTTGAAATATAAAATGCTGCAAAATTCAAACCTTTGTACACCAGCGTGATACCACAGTGGAAATTCCACACCATGAATTCTACCATCTTGCAAAAACTATTTAAAATATTATATAAAGTTACCTTGGGCATGGTATTACAGTGGTGGCAAACCTATGGCATACGTGTTACTGTTTTTTTTCTCTTAAGACAAGAAATGTTCATGTATGAGTTGTTTTTTTCTAACTAAAACCTCAGTATTCAGTGCTGTAGTGTTGGTACTTTGCAATAAATAAGTGAGTTTTAGGTTGCAGTTTGGGCACTCCTCTCTAAAAGGTTTGCCATCACTGGTACAGTAATAAGATGTATAGGAAAAATAAATGAATTTCATGTTTAGAAATGGTTTCCATCCCCAAGATATCTTACTATATACATGAAAATATTCCAAAGTCCAAAATATGAAACACTTCTGGTCTCCAGCATTTTAGATGAGGGGTTATCCAAACAGTAAAATTCTGGGCAAATTGCTAACCTCTGGAAGATTCAGTATTCTCATCCATAAAGCAGGATCACCTTCAGGGTTATGAAGACTAACGAAAGTATCATAGGTGCTGGTTCCAGTTATCACAAGCTGTTATTTACACTCGTATTCTTAGTAGTCAGAAAGTGACTTTTTTATATTTTTCTCCATTTGGTTCAATGTTCCAACCCTTCATTATGTTGCTTAAAAATAATTCATAATAATAAAATAACAGTCATCAAGAAGAACACAAAGAGTGTGCCTCCCCGTTTGTCTACGGCTCTGTTCTGGGCCTGTAGAGATTTGACTGTAGGGCTTCCCAAAGCCAGGAGCTTGGACACCTTCTAGAAGGGAGGTCTCACAGCCCCCTCTTCCTGTGGGAGCTGATGCAGTTGGATAGCTACTAAGAAAACTACTCACCCAAGGCTCCTCTGACACCAGAGTTCCCAGCACCATGGCTGAGCTCACAAAGCCCCCACTAGGGCCGGGGATTTAGCTCAGTGGTTCCGCAGCCTGCCTCGCAAGTGCAAGGACCTGAGTTCAATCCCTGGTACCAAAAATATCCCAACAAAAACAAAGCCCCCACCCACATTAGCTTGCCCATCTCCACTGTTGCTAGGCAAAGCATGTCACCAGCATGGCTTGGGAAAGTCTTTCCAAGAGAAATTCTGGGAAAAGTTTTTTTTCTCCCTGATTAAAAGTCAGGGGACATGTGGAGAACACTCTCTGTGCCAGCCGTCTTGACTTCCAACACTGTCATGTGAGGGAATGTTGTCTGAGCTGCCATTAGAATTACAGAGACCGTACCCAGACTCAGACATTGCTAACAAACCTTGGAAAATGCTCATCTCTGGACTTCTCAGTAAGTGTAAAAAATAAACCTTAGATGCATAAGCCACTTTCGGTTGGATACGCTCTTACTTGCAACCTCAGACATTCTCTTTCCATTTTCAAGTCAGACACATGTGATTTTGAGAGTCGAACGTGTAGCTTGGCTATTTATGGCTATGTGACCTTAGAATGCCTACTGCATCACTCTGACCCTCAATGTATTTTTTTTTTGCTATTAAATGAGGATTATCAGAGGACTTCCTTGGAAGGATTGTGACGATAAGCATGCCAGCACATGGTCATTACTTGGCAAATACTCCACATCTAAGATGACTGTCATCAGCACACCATTTTCACTTGTCCCTTAATTGCTTCCAAGTGTCTACATTGAAAATGTGCCTGCTGAGGCTGAGCTTACACTAGCCTCATGCTTAATGAATCTCTTAACCAGAGACTATGCAAACAGATACTGTCCAATCCAGGTTGGGTCATGGGAATATTCCTGAATCCCTACAAGAAGGGGAAAGACTCAGTGTGCTTTGATTCTGAATGGTATATATAAATTTTCACAGAATAATGTGGCTATCAAGAGGTATAGCTGAAGATATGGCTGCTCAGTCTCCCTGACAGACAATGGCAGGGGATGATGTCCTTATGACCTAGAACAGAGGTGGCTGAAGTCAGCTTCTATTGCCTTTCCTAAGTACTGAGTATGTCCTTTGGCCTATTCTCAGATAACCACAGAAAGTCAGCATTAGAAGGACCAGTCACTAACTAAACTATAAACCAAGTGGCTTTCATCTTCACTTTTGTATTATCCAAGTAATATTCACTAAACTCTAACAAGTTGCCTTGGGTTACACAATCTTATTTTCCTCTAAAACAGAATAGAAGCATGCTTTAAAAGAACTCAAAATACTTTGAAATCATCTTTAAACAAATCCATAAGATTTCTTTAGAAAGTTAATAAGCACTTAAGGTAAGGAATGCACTAAAGAGAACAATTAATACATTTTGAACTAAATAAATAACCCAGCCTTGGAATCAAGACCAGGGCCTAGGAATTTCCTCCAAAACAGTAAAAGCTCCATTCTTGTTCACATGGGAGGCTGCAGGAATTGGCCTGTCAGATAGAGAAATTCAAGGTACCTTTCACCTCCCTCATCCTCACTGCCTGAGCCTTCATCTTCAGGGTGAGAACAATGTACAGTCAGGCCTTAAATTCTGGAGAAGTTCTGTGAACTGCATTGTTGGTCAGAAACTCATTGTTGTGCAGAAACCTCCTGGAAGGTATGCACCAAACTTACATGACCTGGGTCAGTCACTTCATGTGGTCTCTTGATGCATCAGAAAACACAGTCAGCATGAGATGGATGAGGCTACTGCCTGAAGAACACATCAGATTGCTTTACAGTAAACTTACTTTTATAACCAGAAGGGGTGCACTCTAAAACAACAATAAAAAGTGTAATGTAATAAAAGCATAAAGCAAAAACATGGTCATTTATCATCACTATCAAATATTCACACTTTTTATAATTATTTGTGCTATATACTTTTAAATGACTGGCAGCAAAATAGGTTTGTTTACACCAGGATCACTCCAAGTGAGTAAGGCTTCATGCCCAGACATCACAGAAACCATAAGAATTTTTCAGCTCCATTGTACTCTAATGGAACTACCATCATATTTTTGGTCTGTTGTTGACCAAAATGTCATTTTGCAACATGTGAATATATTTGAGTCATTCCTGGTTGGAGAACCCTAAAGTCAGCCAAGATAATCTCAGTGAAGAGCACTCAACATTAGTACCCTACATCACCCCCTACACACACACACACCCCTTCAAAGCCGTGTTTGGTTTCTCTACTCCTTATAACATGCTGTCTACCAGGTCATCTTTCAGGCCTTTTCTCATACAGGGCATGTGACACGCTTTGTGGTGTTATCCACTCACAAAAATTACCAAGTACGTCCTACGTGCTGGCCACTGCTCTGAGTCTTCACACACACACACACACACACACATTTCATTTTGCCCTTACCAAAAGTCTCCTGGGGTGGACACTGTGGCTGCCACTCTATAAAGGACTTGTGAGGATGAGGAACCTGCTGGAGTCA